ACCCTTCTTGCTCTTGCACTGACAAGCAAATAGGCAAACAGTCTAATTAGGGAGGAAATGGGCTGCAAGTTAACCCTACAGAACAGCAGCGGTATTCAGGCAGATCAGCTAGTTCATTCTAGACTGATCATGCAGATCTGTATGTTCTAATGCCAGCATCAGACTTAGATACCAGCTTTAAACAACTGCGAAGCCATTTCCTTGCCAACTTACAAAGTCTTTGAAAAAGAAAACTACTGAGCTTGGTCCTCCATATTTTGGCTACTTACTAGACTATTCTCACTCCATAGCTCTATAGCTGACAAACTGAATTCTCTGACAAGGCTGAAGACTGTTAAAAATCCAAAACTTCATACAAACTGAAGAAACATTTAGTTAGTAAACAAGATTTTTACTTTCAATCACAAATGCCTGCAGTGGTTTTGAAGCCAAAAAGAAACTAAATAATAATTCAAGCCAGCTTCCCAGTAAGAATCATCAACATCTCTTAACACAACTGTTATAACAAGTAATACTGCATCTTTAATACTAATGAATTGTCATGTGGTCTTTACAAAATGGCATACCTGACAAAGAACTTGCCAAACTACCTCTTCGCAGCTTGCAGTCATCTTGACTTAGCTGACGATGGAGCTTGGTTTTCCCAGCAGATGAAAAGATGTCAGGATTGCTGAGCTTCCTGCATCGTAACGGAGTGGACTCTGTTATCATCTCCTGTTGAAAGAAAAACAAGAACTTTGTTAAGGAAAGTACCTGTTTTCTGAAACATACAATCTCCAAAGCATAAATGAGACAATTTAAAAACAAGCAAGCAAACACACATGCACTTAAAATTGTAACTCCCCCTTCCCTGGTGCCACATATCTGCACAAAAAGCACATCACAAGATCCCAGTCAAATATGGTACCTGAACACCACTGCTGTAAGGAATATCATTAGTAAGTCAGAAAAAAAGGCAGTTATTTGCTCTTACAGTATGTGGGAAAAGAGGCTCCTGAACAATCAGGCTCAGCTTTGATTCAAGCTATTTCCTGCTAGAGCAAAAAGTGCTTTCTCTTGAATATTCTTTCTTGAATATTTATTCCATCAAGTCTATGAGTAATATACCTATAAAGAAACTGTTGCAATTTCTAATTGCAACCCAAAACTCCTATTACAAGTTACAGCTCCACTACAAGATCATATGTATAACTAAGTAATAATTAGGATAGAGATCATCCTTTGTGTAATGCCTTTGTTACTATTATAAACAAAATTAGACCTGTATTTGTCAGAAACACTCCCACACATGTAAATTCCTTTCACAGCATACAGCAACCTTTCAATCAAACTAGCACTAGGTAACACAATGGCAAGTACACCCACGGTGCTTTCCTTATGCATTTAATTGTTCTGGAGGTGTGAAACTCCTATTTCACACCCAAAGAAGAAATACAAGCCTAGCTACCACACATGGATTTGAAGATAATGTAACGCTGTCCATTATAACCTATATAGATGCACCTGGTCAAGTTCTCCTTCTCTGCAGTAGTGCAACACGTTCCACGTGTCTTAATGGACTGCTCCATTTTATTTCCAGTGTCTCTCATTAGCTATAGGGCACTACAAACCATGCTTATCCTCATAAAATCTCATCCAAGGCAGAAAATAAACTGAAAGGAACACTTTCCCTGCACGATACATTCACCACATGGTTTAACATAGTTTTAAATCATGTTTAAAGCAAAAACTAGTCTGCCAGTAGTGATGTTTATTAGAATTTGCAGATTCCAGTCGAAAACTATTTTTGAAGTCATTAATTAAAATCTATTCGGTCTACTTCAAACTGTAAAATTCAGACTAGGACTACACCCTTTAAAAATCCAAGATTTTTTGTTTGGGGGTAAAGTAGAAGGAAGGAAGGACATGAATAACATGGGTTTACATGGGGAAAAAAAAACTGGATATGAAATAGAATCCCCACTTAGCTCTGAATCATTCATTCTCAACCTTTCTTAGACCCCCTGTCCTTTTAATCATGGAATCTTTTGGCACCTCAGAATAGTAAATAAGTTTATTCGTTTGAGGGACAGGAATGCTTCGCTCCACATCTGCTTCGGTGCTGCACCTTCACCAGGTTGAGAAGTACTGTGCTGATACAATTTTTTCCTCTGGTTACAGTTAGACATTCAGTCGCCACCCTGCAAACCAGAACAAGGGAGAGACCTGTGTGACTTAAAGTAGGTCAGTTCACTTACCCAGTTCATCACACAGCTGCAAACAGTTGTGTTGGCGCAAGAGTGGGGAGAGGCATGAAAACAAGTAGCCTGGGGTAGACAAAACTGCTCGAGCTGAAAACACTTTATTCTTAAGCTTCCTCATAGATATCTTGGAACAAAGAACCTCTTCTTCAAAGAAAAGCTTTCTAACTGGGACTTCTTTCTTTGTCCAAGATTTTGGGGTTGCCTGTCAATGGTTTTGGAGGGGTCTTGTTTTGGTTTGTTTTGGTTTTTCCCCTCATATGTATTTTTATATATATATATA